GTTTGAATTACTGTGTATTGACAAACTAACTCCTGCTCGTTTTATTGATGCTCTTGATTCAGTACAATTATTTTCTGATGAACTACATAAAATAGCCGATGAGTGTATTCCTAGGTCCTCTACAAATCCACATATACGTAAACCATGGTTTAATAATGACTGCAAACAAGCTAGAAAGGCACGGAAAAAAGCTGAACACTATTTCCGTCGCCACCCAATGGTGCATAATTTAGATAAATTGAAAATTTTAAACGCTAAAGCACGTCGAACATTTAAGCAAAATAAGCGCCAATCTTGGCAAAATTATGTTTCGAAAATAAATTCACGGACGCCGGTGTCCAAGGTATGGAACATGATCCAGAGAATTAAAGGTAAGGGTACCAAATCAAGCATTAATCATCTCAAAACTGGGGACCAATTGTTAACAGATACATCTGATATCGCAAATAAACTGGGTGAAACACTTGCAAAGCATTCTTCCTCGTCAAACTATGTTCCTAAATTTCAAAAATACAAACAATTGCAACAAAAGAAACAAATCAATTTTCATTCAGATAATGGGGAAGACTATAATGAAATCTTTTCTATCCACGAGCTTCATACGGCTCTTGACCAAGCCCACAATACTGCAACAGGAGCTGATAACATTCATTATGAACTCCTGAAACACTTACCTGAATCCTGTTTAGAAACACTATTAAATATTTTTGATGACATTTGGACATCTCGTCAATTTCCTTCATCTTGGCGTGATGCCATTGTTATACCCATACCTAAACCTGGACGTGATCATACAGATCCCTCAAATTATAGGCCCATTTCCTTGACTAGTTGCGTTTGCAAAACCATGGAGCGCATGGTCAATAACAGATTAACTTGGTACTTAGAGTCCAATAACTTAATCACAAATATCCAATGTGGTTTTCGTAAAAATCGCAGTACCATTGACCATTTAGTGCGATTGGAGTCATTTGTTAAGAATGCCATTCTTAACAAGCAGCATGCAGTGTCAATATTTTTCGATTTAGAGAAAGCCTATGACACGACATGGAAGCATGGCATTTTACAAGATTTACATGATTTTGGTTTACGAGGCCGTTTGCCTCAGTTTATATCCGAATTTTTAACTGATAGGCAATTTCAAGTCCGCGTGGGTTCTACCCTGTCTGACCATTATAACCAATATCAGGGTGTCCCACAAGGTAGTATTTTGTCTGTCACATTGTTTAGTGTTAAGATCAACAGTTTATCCAAGGTTTTAAACGATTCAATTGATGGATCACTTTTTGTGGATGATTTTAATATTTCTTGTCGCGGTAAAAGTATGCATACTATTGAACGGCAACTGCAGTTGTGTTTAAACAAAATAGATAAATGGTTTCTTGAAAACGGTTTTAAATTTTCTAAATCCAAAACCAATTGTATCCATTTTTTTGTAGAAAATATAAACCGCATAAAGACCCCGAACTGTCTTTAAATGGCTCTCCCGTCAAAGTCGTTAAAGGAAGCCAAGTTCTTGGGTTTAATTTTTTGACTCGCATCTAACTTTTCTTCCCCATATCAAGTCCCTAAAAACTAAATGCTTGAAGGCACTTGACTTGTTGAAAGTCGTTTCCAATTCTAAGTGGGAGGGATCAAGCTACCCTCCTACAATTATATCGATCATTGGTACGTTCCAAAATTGATTATGGCTCCATCGTGTATGGTGGAGCCTGCAACAAGTAATCTAAAACTTTTAGATTCTGTCCACCACCAAGGTCTAAGACTATGTCTTGGTTCCTTTAGAACTTCACCTGTTGACAGCCTCTACGTCGAGGCTGATGAGCCATCTCTTACACAACGCCGTATAAAATTAACTTTACAGTATATTACAAAACTTTATTCCAATGAGTCAAACCCTGCATATAACTGTGTCTTTAATCCCCGATATGAAGATCTGTATAACAAGAAGCCTTCTCTTGTTCCGCCTCTTGGTATAAGAGTGAAACCTTTCCTTTCTGCTGCTGGCATTGAGCTAGAACATATAGCTCCTTCCCGTCTTCTTTCTTCTCCTCCCTGGCAATTGGTTAGGCCACAAGTCGACCTAACACTCACTAAATTTAAAAAATCAGAAACTAATGACTTACAATATAAACAAGAATATAATCAATCAAAAAGTAAATATAATACATATAAATCCTTATTTACAGATGGGTCCAAGGATGGTGGCGCGGTTGCTTGTGCCACTGTCATTGGGTCCCGAACAATATCTTCCAGATTACCCAATGACAGTTCAATTTTCACAGCTGAAGCAAACGCAATCCTAACAGCTCTTAAATATATAAATAGACACCCTAAATATAAACAATACATAATCTTTTCTGACTCTCTGTCTTGCCTTCAGGCGATTAAAAATCTTTCTTGTAAACATCCACTTTTAATAGAAATTATAGAATTATATAATGATCTTGCAACTGGCCAATGCGACATCGTCTTCTGTTGGTTACCCAGTCACGTTGGTATTTCTGGGAATACAATGGCCGATCTTGCTGCAAAGGCAGCACTCAACAAATCTGTGACACCACTTCTTATTCCATACTCTGATTACAAAGCAAGCATTCGAACCTACATCCGTGATCTGATGCAGAAGAAGTGGGACACCCAAGTAGGTATAAATAAATTACATGAAATAAAACCCTATATTGGTTACACCTACTTGGGTTGTCAGTCCAGATTTGAAGAGGTCATCATGCGACGATGTCGTATTGGCCACACTAGATATACTCATGAGTACCTATTAAAAGGTGAGGATCCTCCGTTTTGTATCCCTTGTGATGAAAGAATCACAGTCAAGCATGTCCTGCTTGACTGTGTTGAATATTCCATCACAAGGGATATTTATTTCAAAGTAAAAACTATGAAGGATCTTTTTAGTCATATAAGTTCTCATTTAATTATTGCCTTTTTAAAAAAATTAGACTTGCTAACTGATTTGTAAATAGATATATATTTTATTGATGGTAGTTTAAGGGGGTTGAAGTAGCGTAAAATTATTGTCCTCCTGAGAGGGTACGTAAGTCCCAAAACATTTAGTCAATTTAAGTGTACCAGGTTTTTAATCGTAGAATATGTGTACTTTTAATTTATGGCTAGGTTTCTCTTCTGTCGCCAATGGCTGAAGGGATGGTGTAAATCCAGCTAGGGTCCATGCAGGAAGCAAATGTACTGTAAGTCCCCATGGTCCCTAGTATGGTGATCTACCTTCAGTTGTTGGTGATCAATAGCCTGTTTTTATATTGTATCGTCTTGTATAGTTCAAATGTTTTAGATTTAGTTACTAGTTTTATATCTATATCTGTGATAATCTAGTTATTTTACTGTTCTTCGTCGGCAGAATTTTATAATTTCACTTAAATTGTTGTTATATTTATAACTTGCTTTAGTCACGATATGGCTGAAATATTGCCGATGTGACTAAAAATCTTAACTCACTCACTCACTATACATCGGAGCTAACCTTTACCTATACTACAAATCTACCTGTACCTTGGACTACTATGGTACCCGCACCTTAGATCATGTAACTACCCGTATATTGACAAATACTGCAACGAACAGAAACCAGTCCGCATCTTAGACAACAGGTACCGATACGTTATAACAGTGAGCTAATCGCACATTAAACCAAAGAGCTATCTGCACCTTAGATCTTAGAGTTACCAGTTCCTCTGACCACTAAGTTACCCCTGGTGAGACCGCTCCTCAGGAACAAGGGATACTCGAACCTGTGACCCATGAGCTAAACATTTCGTACAACTCAGATCGGATCGTAAGATCAGGACCAGTTACAATTGGCCTAAGATCGGTAAGCGGCACGGGTGTAACTTTTAGCTAAGACGATTGTAACATTAGCGTAACTTGCTAAGATTGATTTTAGTTAAGATCGGTTAGTGGAACGGGGCCCAGGGCTATTTTAAGATATAAAAGATAGCTTGTGTAGTCGTCTACAGCAGGCAGACCATGTGTCCTTCAAGACATGGTAACATCCTATCAATTTGTACACGTCTTTTTTCCGAGAATAAAAACTGAAAAAAAACATAAAAATAAAAATCCCATCAACAGTTTCTCAAACTATCAATCTTTTCAGCCAGGCGTAATTATGACTTGAAATATGAAATAATGATTAAAACAAATCTATGTACACAGAGTAATCAAGAATAATCGAGAGTCCTGTAATTCATGACTAAGCTAAGTGTGCATTAGCAGGAGTGCCTGTTATCAGATGTTCATTCATCTTGTCAACTTGACTCAAAACAAGCCATTTCAATACCTTTTAAAGGTTTTATGGATAATATCAATTCGGCTGTTACTATTGGTGATTGACAAATAGAAATATTTCCATCTTGTTTCATCCACAGCTGCTGTCAAACTTTCAAGATATACATGTAGGGCAGACGTGTAGTTAAGGCGTTCGCTCGACGTATCCAAGAAACAGATTATATTCTCACAGGGGGGGGGGGCAATATGTGAAGCACGTTGTTCATCAAGGCATGTTATTTTGTTAATATCCAATATTTCCAATCTAGGTTCCATTCTTGACATAGTTTCAATTTTGATCTATTCTTTGAACCTATCCATAAAAATTTGGTTTATCGGTGTTTACTTTTAAACCAGAAAAAAAGATAAAAAAAAGTTTGAAGTACGGCGTGGAGGCATCTTTCAGACCCATTGAGTGTACAAGTTGTGTCATCTGCATACCGAGAAAGAAGATATTCGATGTTTCCAATTTGAATACCTTTTATGTCGTTAATATTTCGAACAAGTATTGCAAAAATGTGTACGCAAAGAAGAAATAGATAAGGTGATAATGGATCTCCCTGACGACATCCTCTGGATATGGTGAGTGCAATATGTGAAGCATGTTTTGAATCCCGCCCAATAAATACATACACGTAAGTAACTTTGTTAATCATGTCGTCCGTTATTATTTAGTAAAAATGAAACAATGATAAACAATGATATGTTTTAAAGAATACTTCATTTCATCAATACATATGGAAAATAATCAGTCATCTTTCTCATCGGGCTCTTCTTGCGTCTGTGTTGGCTTCTGAAAAAACATATAGAAATTCCATAAATATTTACTGTCCCTTCACTGTTGTTGATGCTAAAATACTGCTAAATAATGTTTCTGTGTCGTGAAATTATGTTGAAGAGTGCAAATTCCCATCAGTATTTATCGAAAACTTACAAAATAAGTACAGATCAATCAATCTAGACCATTAATCATATACAATAGGAATTTATTAGCAACCAATTTGACAAAAAGTGCAACTGATTTCATCTGGTTATATTGTATGATACTTTCCCAAAATACGGGCGTCATTTACAGAAGAAAGTTGTTACCCGCAATAGTTTTACTGGACTGAATATTCTGTATTTCTTACAGTTGACCCAAATTAAAATGATTAATTGTCTTTTAATGGCAGGATAAACCTTTCATGTAAAACTATTTCTTCATGTCACATCTTCATTTCTTGTTTAAAAGTCGAATACTATATTTACTTATGAGGGGGCTGACATTTGTTGTGAGGAATCACAGTCTGGTTGTTAGGGAAGTGACGTATTGTTTACGCTATAAAATAACGAACTGGGGTCACAGACTCGAATGTAACATTATCCCCTGATTTCCTGTACATCGCAGATAAGCAAGAGTGTCTACGTGACTAAATCTGTGTCGGCAGATTGGATACTGGACAGAGGAAACAGGGAATATTCCTACATTTGAAATCATGTCTACATTTTGGTCATTTAATGAATGGTAACATCATAGTTAAGTTAATAGTCGACGTTTGTTTGCAATTTAATTGATATTACCATGACTCTACATCATATTATTTGCAAACACAGACACAGACATACTGTAACATAGTTTGGATATGAATGTGCATTTATTAATTTACCACTCTACAAACCTGAACAAAAACAGGTTTTCACATTTCCTTGTACTATTGATTTTGATCTTGTCAACATTGATGCCCATGTAGTAAACAAAAACACTCATTCTAACACTGCAAGTAAATTTATACTAATCGACACAAAGATGTTATGTCACAAGTTATATATATCACACATATGATGAGAAAACATCATAGGAATACGTACTGTTACAAACAAAGAATGAACGTTCACAAGGTAAGATATAGAATATGCCTGAAATTCTTAAGTGATGAAAACATTTGACTGTACAAATTGACGTTTTAGAACAATAATGTGAATATGCAATTACCTCCTTTAATAAAGCTGTCGTCTTGTCACAAGAGTAAAATGGACAGTCTTCTACATCTACGTGTGGTGGAACTTTCCACCAGCTATGTTCAGAGTCCGATTTTGAACGCACGGCTTCCTGCTCTGACCTGATTAAGTATCTGGGAAAATTCCTGAGAGCTGGCACCGAGATGCAAGATAGCAAGTCGTCCATGCAGAGAAGGCTAACCGCACAGCAGTAATCGGGTGATTACAATAAAATGTTGGATCTATTAAATAGTACAATACAAAAATCAGTGATTGTAATGAGACACATGACATATTATTACACTTAACAGAATGTTCAGAACAGTTTTCAAAAATTTAGAATTTCTCACAAATATTTACGTACAGCTGTAGTTTCATAACCATTATTTACAAGTTAATATGCATTCCTGCAGTGAACGGAGACATAGTTATCAGGAAATGTTTACCTCAAAATGTTTCAATAACGATTTTACCAGGTTGTGATTTGGTTTCAATCAAACTTTAGGAAATCCTTCGCCAATGTTTCAATAACGTTTCTAAAACGTTGGTGTGTAGAAGTTTGGATTTTGTGTCTTGATAACGTTTTAATAACGTTACTCTGAACGTTTCAAAATAACATGGAAACATTATAAAAACGTTTTCATGAAACATTTCCATGAGAAACCACTATGAAACGTTTTATAACTCATTAAGGCCGAGAGACGCACATGTGCGAAAATTAATTAACTCCTCACAGCGAGAGACGCACATGTGCAACAACAGAAAGCACCTCTCATTCAGCGAGAGACGCACATGTGTGTCGTACTTTTAAACATCGGACTGTTCCTATTATTTCAACCAATTTAGTAAAACTGAGCAAATATTAGCTTTTCTTATGAGAGATGCTACCTTTAGTGTCAATCAGAAGAAGTACTTAAAGTGTTTTGATAGCAATTGCTAATCATTTTCATAGGCTTATACAGCGTTTGGCAAATGAACACATTACGATGTTTTTACAGAGGTAAAGTGTCCGGTACTCTTCAATGGGAATGGATACTAAAATACTTCTTATGCCCATTGATTGAATTAGATGTAATGGTTTAGAGGTTACTGAAGATTATATTTTCTTCACCTTCCTAATAAATAGGAAATAATATACGAAATGTCAAGGGCATGCAAAGAATTCAAACACAATAGAATAGTTTGAATCTACTTTTAGGTATTATTGCGTTGTCATGTTTCATATAATGAAATATATTGTATAAACACAAATAATTATTCGAATAGGTTAGACATATATTAACTTACCAATTTAAAGCTAGCTGAATTGTAACTAATTATTTTCCATAATCTAAAGTTGATAATGTTACCTAATCGAATATAAAGTGATAGGTCGCGCCTTTGCATGGAATATATATACATGTCAGTGTTATTACAACAATGAAATCTTTTACTACGTTTGTTACAAAACACAGTAAGTTGGTAATTCCAAAAATTCTTAGACATACACAGAAGTAATATCATAAATTATTACATGTAAACCATACAAAAGGTATTTCAAGTATTTTTGTTCAACCTGTTGAAAGTTTCACGTTGATTTGAATTGTCAGTTTTCTATGCAATTTACATGAGCTTTGTGTAACACATTTGTATTTGATCTCTGCAATTATCAAATCCGGTGTAATTATCACGTGTATCAATGAACTCAGTCTCTATTGATCCATCGTCAATAAAAGCTGGATAGTTACGGTATCGATACACATGCGTATAATCATTCAATCAGATTACAGTAATGAGATAACTGAACACCTCTTTCGACCTTGAAATAACAGCCTCCGGTAGAATGCATATGTAGTTACGCCCTTGTTGAAAGGTTTGTCCCGTGACAAGTGTAAAATAAACAGATGCGCTATTATATCATTGGACAGCTTGCCTTATGGAGTCACGCCCCTCGCTGTAACGTTATGCATAGATGCACATCTGTAATCTTACGCACCTCGTTTACTTTCAGTATAAATATAGGCACGCCCACCTTCATAAATATTTGGGGGGATTCAACTGCAAGATTATACAATATAATAATTCAGTATAGTGTCACTTCGTGAATTCTGTAATACGTGTACTTTTGTTTGGATATTCATTCGTATCAAGGTGAAGATTATATTTACATATACAGCAAACCATTATGTTTTATGTACTAGTTGTGTGCGTAAAATGTACATGAAAATAAACGCTATCTCTACTCAATGGTTGGATTTCAATCGCTTTGTTTGATCTCTGAGGACAAATGGCACCCGGGAAGAGCCACCTCCTCGTGGTGGGTGCTGGGTAACACTAAGAGCTCTTCAACCCCCTGTTGTGGACCCGGGGGGATATTTGGTCAACCAACCCGTTTGCCGTGGGTTGCGCCCCTGTGTCGGTGGAGGACGGGTGGTTGAGGGCACTGGTTCCAGGATCAGTGTTCCTTTGCCCAACACACCACTTCGGCCCTTGCTTCACCTAGACGGGCGCTTGAATGGGCCCGGTTCAATCAATCGGCTGGTCACGCCAAGCCCTGTTTTACAACTTTTGTAATGGAAATATGGCATTTTAAAAGATTTACATGGCCTCGGATTGCGAGGTCGTTTACCTAAATTTATATCCAACTTTTTAAATGACAGGCACTTTCAAGTCCGAGTGGGTTCAACCCTGTCTGACCATTACAATCAGGATCAGGGTGTTCCACAAGGCAGTATTTTGTCTGTTACTTTATTTAGCATTAAGATCAAGAGTTTATCCAAGGTTTTAACCGATTCAATCGATGGATCACTTTTTTGTGGATGATTTTAATATTTCTTGCCGTGGTAAAAATATGCATACTATTGAACGGTAAGTCGGCACCCATGAAGGGCCACCTCCTCGTGGTGGGTGCTGGGTCACGCTAAGCGCCCTTCAACCCCCTGTTGTGGACCCGGGGGGATATTTGGTCCACCAACCCGTTTGCCGTGGGTTGCGCCCCTGTGTCGGTGGAGGACGGGATTCTGGTGGTTGAGGGCACTGGTTCCAGGAACAGTGTTCCTTTGCCCAACACACCACTTCGGCCCTGACTTCACCTAGACGGGTGGTAGAACTGGCCCGGTTCTATAAATCGGCTGGTCATGCCAAGCCCTGTGTATGCGTATTTTGATACACACGTTTTAGACACTTTGGAAAATGTTTTCTGAATTGACTTGGCTTCATGTTTATGTTTTTGCATTTGTAAATATTTCAATTTTGTAATTTGCCTAGAGTACTATACCCAGAAGGCGGTGGCTCATGGGCCAATCTGGTGGAAAAATTAATCTTTTAGTTTTTCTGCTTGAGTATATCATCCGAGTATCCTTGGTGCTACAAGTTGGAGATCCACTTGTGTTTAGCATTGTCCTTGTGATACTCCGTGGTGGGTGGGGAGCTCGGATGATGAACCATTAAAAACTAACCATGGCTTATCAAACTCCAAACAAAAAAACCAAACGTCCTCTTGACAATGACCCTGTTGACAACGAACTTAGACTGCCCAAACCAACTGATTACTGGCCACGTTTTGTTGTAATTCAGACCAAAGATGATACACCATTAAAATTAAATCCTTTTGCTGTGTCTAAAGGTATCCAAGGCATTGCTGGCGATGTGAAGAATGTTAAAAGATTACGTTCTGGTGCATTGTTAATTGAGTGTGGCAAGAGGCACCAATCAAACAACCTACTGAACACTGAAACTTTTGTCGGCATTCCCGTCACCGTTACGGCTCACAAGACCCTTAACACGAGCAAGGGAATCGTAAGAGATCGTGAGCGATTGCTGGCTGACATGTCGGAACTAGATATCGTTTCCGAAATGAAGGATCAGGGTGTACTCTATGTTAAACGTTTTTCTACACGTAAAAACGATACAACCATCAAAACCAATACTTATCTGTTTTCTTTTTCTTTACCCATTGCTCCAAAATCTCTCAAGGCAGGTTATTGTAACCTCAATGTGGAGACTTACATTCCAAACCCTCTCAGGTGCTTTAAATGTCAGAAGTTTGGACACGGCGTAAATACTTGTACATTGTCTGTTGTGTGTGCTCACTGTGGTGAAAAGACACACACAACAGAAGATTGTAACAGTACTGTCAAAAAAGTGCATCAACTGTGCAGGGAACCACCCAGCTTACTCTAAGGACTGTCCCGTATGGAAACAGCAAATGGCAATCAATCAAATAAAATTCACGCAAAACATTAGTTTTGCAGATGCCAAGAAACTAGTCCACGGCTCAGAACAGACAGACAGTTATGCTTCCATTGCCAGAACAACGGCTGAGGCAACATCTAGAGTAACCAAAGTATCTGCTAGTTGTCAGACAGACTTAACCTGGGTCAAAACAGAATCTCCTAAACCTGTCTCGCCTGCTACGTCTACACAAACTGTAAACTCACTTCCCGGTACATCTCGAACCCAATCAGAGACATCCCCTGATCATGAACCATCTTCTCAGTTGTCAACAAAGTCTCAACAAGGTCTTGTTAAAACCAAAACTAAAAAGCCAGATGTTACCAAAAAACTCAGTGGCAGAGCCCCAAAGGGGTCAGAAAATCAAATTCAATTATTCAACAAATATGGATCTCTTGAGGATATGGACGTGTCTGAAAACGTCCGTAGTAGGGCACATAGCTTGTCGCCCACCAAACAAGTGCGGGGTAGATCCCCAATAAATCCCCCTAAAAGATAGGTTATCAGCATAATATCCTACAGTGGAATTGCAGAGGACTAAGGACTAATTTCAATGAATTGCAGCTTTTAGTCCAGGATTTAACACCATCAGCGTTCTGTCTGCAGGAGACCTATTTAAAACAGACAGATGATTTTGTCCTGCGTTCTTTCAATGCATATCATTGTTTTTCACCTCCGGGTGACAGGGCCACTGGCGGATCTTCCATCTTAGTCAAACAGAATGTTATCCAGAGCCCAGTGTCACTAACTACTCATCTGCAGGCTGTTGCAGTGCGAATTACTTTACATGTTGCGTTTACATTGTGTTCTGTATATATCTCTCCGTCTTCAACGTTTCACAAAACTGATCTTCAAGCTCTATATGACCAACTCCCG